AGTAAAAGTATGTCCCAAATAATGCATAAGATATAGGAAACAATTATTCAGTGTTTATCTGCAAGGCATATTTAACGTTTTTTAGTTTGCTAAATCTGGCACCCCACCTCCATCCTCACATTAGAATCAAAACTCTAACTCCATACACATGGGAGGTTGGCTGACCAAAGCACTACATGGTAAATTTCTGTTTAAGGCAACATATACAGAGGAAAAACAAACAAACAAAAAACAGGAAAGGAGGAACAAAACTTTCAGCATTCCTCTTGAGTAACAGAGGCATCTAATTTTACTCGACACTAAATCAAATATGAGTGTTACTAGACCTCAGTCATACAAGTACCTGCACAACGAGAGTGTCCAAACAGAGCTGAATGCCCTCTACTCCACACACCTTACCCTATGAACACAGGTAAATTACAGACCCTTTATCTCTGCCTCCAGCTCAGGGCTCCTGTCTGCACTTAGCTTAAGGGAAGCCAAATCATAAACTCAAACTTCCTGACCAAGAAGCAGAAGAACAAATACAGTCCAAGCAAAATCTGCATGCGGCATAAAAAGTGAAGGCTATAGAAAGGATAAATTACTCTCTTCAAGAACCAATCTTGTTTTGGCAATGGCAAGACACTTTCCCTTTGCAGGGGCCTGGCCAACATGGTGAAACCCCGTTTCTATTGAATAAATACATAAGAAATGAATTTCCATTTTCTTAAATTTCCAAAAAACTTCACTCTTCCTAAATCAGCACAAGAGGACAATACCCTGGAGATAGGCACTGAATGGCCCTGCCCAGTTTGCCCAGGATACAGACACAGGGCTCCGGTCTGCCACTGTGGAAAAGACCGAAAGCCTCACCTTTCTACTTATTTGAACTTCCCCTTTTTAAGGAAGATAAGACTATTATTTTTGGGAAAGTAGGACAGAAGATGAGAGACTTAGGAGATGCTGGTGTATCTATAGACATTGCTTCTCTTAGAAAAAAAAAAAAAATGGATAGAATAGTAGGAAAGAAACAGCAGAACACTCTACAGACATACCAGGCTGAATGCACCTGTTCTCCTCTGATCTTGGAAGCTAAGCAGGGTTAGGCCTGGTTAGTACTTGGATGAGAGAAATGGCAGAATGATCCCTATTGCTCCGTCTTCCGTTCCCTTTTTCATTAGTTCAGCACCTATCTTTTTGAGCGCTTAATATATGTCAGAAACCATTCTGTGTGCTGTGGACATCACAGTGACCAAGGCAGATTCCTGGCCATCATGGAGCTTGTCTTCTATCAGTGAAAGACAAATATTGTGTGTATGTGCTGGTTTGTGTATGACAGTACTATAAATACTCTAAAGAAAACAAGGCAAGGTAAGGGGGCAGAAAATGATGGGATGGGTGAGGGATACTATTTTAGATGCCGTGGTCAAAGAAGGCCTCTCTAGAAAAATGACTTTTCACCTGAGTGAAATAAATCAGAAAGCCACACAGACATCTGAGGGGAAGAGCATTCCAGGCAGAGGAAACAAGGGCAAAGGTCCTGAGGTATGGCTGTAGCAGAAGTCAGCAAAGGAAAGAGCGAGTGCAGATGAAGCCACACTCCATGCAAGGGCTGTAGAGACCATGGTGAGGACTCTGTCTCTTCTGAGATAAAAAGCCATTGGAGAGTTTCAAGCAGAGTGACATAACAGACCCTGGCTGCTGCCTTAAGAATAGAGTGTGCAGCAGTAAGGGTGGAAGCAGGGAAGTCCTTTAGGAGGCTTTTGCAGTAATCCAGGAGACAGAGATGATAGGAACTTAGTGGAAGCAGCAGAAGTGGTGGGAAATGGTTATCATCCTAGATGTATTCTTTTTGTTTGTTTGTTTGTTTGTTTTGAGATGGAGTCTCACTGTGTCACCCAGACTGGGGTGCAATGGTGCGATCTTGGCTCACTGCAACCTCCGCCTCCCAGGTTCAAGTGATTCTCCTGCCTCAGCCTCCCAGGTAGCTGGGATTACAGGCACCCATGACCATGCCCGGCTAATTTTTGTATTTTTAGTAGAGAAGGGGTTTCACCATGTTGGCCAGCCTGGTCTTGAACTCTTGACCTCAGGTGATTCACCTGTCTTAGCCTCCCAAAGTGCTGGGATTACAGGCGTGAGCCACTGCGCCCGGCCAAATGTATTCTTAAAGTAGAATCAGTGAGATTTGCTGAGTAATTTTTTTTTTTTTTTTTTTGAGATGGAGTCTCACTAGGTTGCCCAGGCTGGAGTGCAATGGCGCCATCTCGGCTCACTGCAACCTCTGCCTCCTTGGTTCAAGCGATTCCCCTGCCTCAGCCTCCCGCCTCAGCCTCCCAAGTAGCTGGGACTACAGGCACGTACCACCATGCCCAGCTAATTTTTTGTATTTTAGTAGAGATGGGATTTCACCGTGTTAGCCAGGATGGTCTTGATCTCCTGACCTTGTGATCCGTCCACCTGTCTCCCAAAGTGCCGGGATTACAGGCGTGAGCCACCGCACTCAGCCTGCTGAGGAATGTAATGTGGGGTATAAGAGAAAGAATCAAGAATGATTTCAGGATGTTTGGTGTGAGCATCAGGAAGAGTGAAGCTGCCATTCACTACGATGGAGAAGACTAGGGGAAAAGCAGCTTTGGGAGAGAAAACTCAAAAGTGTGACTCCTAGAGATTGTTGTTCACTTCAAAACCCTTACATCTATTCTAGTACCAAAACAACAGAAATTGAGAAGCTGACTTTAAATTTCATATGGAAGGCCAGGCATGGTGGCTCATGCCTGTGATCGCAGCACTTTGGGAGGCTGAGGCAGACAGACCACCTGAGATCGGGAGCCCAAGACCAGCCTGACCAACATGGAGAAACCCTGTCTCTACTAAAAATACAAAATTCGGTGGGCGTGGTGGCACATGCCTGTAATCGCAGCTACTCAGGAGGCTGAGGCAGGAGAATCACTTGAACCTGGGAGGCGAAGGTTGCAGTGAGCCGAGATCGTGCCATTGCACTCCAACCTGCGAAATAACAGCAAAACTCTGTCTCAAAAAAAAAAATTCATATGGAAATTCAGAGAACTGGACAGTCAAAACAATCTTGAAAAAGAACAAGGTTGAAGGACTCACATATCCTGATTTCAAAACACTATGTAGCTACAATAATCAAGGTACTATGATACTAGCTTGAGGGCAGACATACAGATCAATGGAATAAAATTGACAGTTCAGAAAGAAACCTTTACATTCATGGTCAATTTATCTCAACAGAGGTGCCAAAACCATTCAAAGAGGAACAGTCTTTTAAACAAATGGTGCTGAAAGAACTGGATATCCACACACAAAATGTTGGAAGTTAGACCTCCTACCTCACACCATATTTAAAAATTAACTTAAAATGGATCAAAGAATGAAATGTAAGAGGTAAAACTATAAAACATTTAGAAGAAAACATAAGTATAAATCTTCATGACCTTGAATTTGACAATGTTTTCTTAAATTTGACATCAAAAGCACAAACAACAAAAGGAAAAACAGGCTGGGTGTGGTGGATCCAGCCTATAATCTTAGCACTTTGGACTGATGCAGGTTTGATCACTTGAGGTCAGGAGTTCGAGACCAGCCTGGCCAACATAGCAAAACCCTACCTCTACTAAAAATACAAAAATTAGCCAAGCATGGTGGCGCATGCCTGTAAACCCAGCTACTCTAGAGTCTGAAGCAAAAGAATCACTTCAATCCAGGAAGCAGAGGTTGTTGACAGAGCCAAGATCATGCCACTGTGGTCCAACCTGGGCGACAGAGTCAGACTCTGTCTCAAAAAAAAAAAAAGGAAAAATAGATTCAATATACTTCAATGAAATTAAAAATCAAAGCAAGTCATAGAAATTAAGGAAGGAGGGAAAAAAGCGAGGGAGGGAGGAAGAGAGAAGGGTACAAAGGAAGGAAGAAAAAAGTAGGAATGAAAACATAAAACAACATAAACCAACATAAAATACAGAAAATAATGATCCTCAGTCAAGTTCCTTCAGCATTATATTAACCCTTCTTCACTTCTAGCCATCTGCAGAAACTGTTTTCCAGATTGTATTTTCCCTCTAAAGCAAGTTTTTAAGAAGGCCAGGGAAAAAAAAAAAAAAAAAAGTAACAAGAACAGTGAGTGGAGAATCAACAAATTTAATTAGCAATGATTAGAGAAAACGTACATAGCACAACTCTATAATCCCTCTACCCCCAACTCCAACATCTGACTGATCAACCAGCCATAAAGAGTGAGAATCCATCGGGAAGGAAAGAACAGCTGTTAGCTGCAGGGGTAAGGAAGAGGACCCTGTGGCAGAAGACCCTGAGGCCATGCAGGCCCAGGTGGCCAGCAGGAGCTAAAAGGCTGGGAAGGCTCCTCAGTCCAGGGCTCACAAAATTCCCTTCGCTTCAGGCCTGACTTTGCTGAACTGGTGATCTATTGGGACAGAGACAGGCTTTGGCAATAGTTACTAAAGCCTGTCATCACATCAGCCCACCACCAGTCCGGACGGGAGGGCCTGGCTGCCAGGTAGAGTTTTCTGTCTAATTGACAGGAGAAGGGAGAGCCCCTCCCTCGCAGCCAGTCTGCAGTCCAGACCCTCACCAACGAGAGGGCAACCGGGTTAAACAGTTAAACTGAAAGCAAAAGAGGGAGGAATGAACTGGGGGGCTTGCGGGAGGTCGGAGACGTTCCTCCTTTCCCTCCAGGAAAGTTTCCTACCCCTGATGGGCACCCTCGCACCTGGATGCAACCCGGAGGCGACCTGAGACCCTGGCCGGACCCGGGACCGCACCTGACCAGCACCAGGCGGCTGTCATCACTGGGGTCTGCACTGAGGGCCTGGGAGAGAAGCCACTTTTCCGGCAGGCTCGGGTGCCAGGAGGCAAGGAGAAAGGGCGGCGCAGCCTCCGACCCCAGCCCCAGGACGGCCCCACGGGGACGCCTCGCTCGGTCCCCCCGGAGGGACCGAACCCGCCGCGAGCCTCCCGCTCCTCAGGCCCCTCACCTGGCTCGCCCCGCAGTCCTGTCCCCGCCCGGCTCGAGTCCCCGCGCGCCGCGTCCACCCGCCGCTGGCCTTTTTTGGGTTCTTGGCGGGTATTTTCCGCCTGGCCCCACATCACTTCCCGTAAAGGAGAGCGAGGTGGGGCGGGACCTTCTCTCCTCCACCTCCCGCCTCCTCCTGTCACCTCGGGAGCGGCCCCTGCCCGGTTGGCGGGGGGTGGGGGACTGTCGCGCTCTCCCCGGCGGCCGCGCCTCCGAGGGGTCCTCTGTGAGCCCCGAAAAGGCCCTGCTCGCCTCCTTTGTCCCAACACTAGTTTCCACTGCCCCGTTCTGGAAGGTGCTAGAAGATAAAGGGGTGTTTTCGTTTTGAGACACGGGGGTGACATTTACAAAGTGCACCAAGGACCGGTATGCGGCGAGGTGTCCTTTGGGGACTCTGCCCTATTCACCTCCCCCAAAAGCCATGTTCTAAAGGTGTTTTCCAGGGCATCAGATCGCGGTCGCCACCGTAGCAGCCGGAGGTGCCGGGCGAATGCACGCCGGCCCCGCCCGGGGTTCCCGGGTCCTCGCGGCTCCTGAGGCGGCGTCCCGGGCCCGGCCCTGCCGCCGGCTTCCCGCCCCTGCGGCTCCTGGCTCAGGTCGGCCTGGACACGGCCTTTCCGGGACAAGGGAAAGTCTGGGATTCCTGGAAATAACATGGGAGAAAAATAAGTAAAAATTTTCGCACGAAAAAAATCAATGTAATTCTGGGAGGAAATGGCAAACGGAGTCTCTGCTCACACTGTCTAATTCAAGAATATAAAACCACTGTAAATTTCTAAGAGTGTTAGAGCAATGAGTTTAAAAAGAAGGAAACTACAGTATGTTAAGGAACCGACTCTGTCGGAAGAAACCTGCGTGCCTTTGCTGCCACCCAGTGGCTCTCTTCTCCCAGCGCCGACGGTGTCGCTGGGGCCTGCGGGATCGTGAACCTGGGACTGCGGAGAGGATCAGGCCTCCTGGTTCCCACTCAGAGGCAACCAAGGTCATCCACCTCAGTGGCCTGGAGGTGTGAACAGCAGGCCTTGAGCCTGCCCCTGTGGAGTCTAAGGCAAAGGCCCTCTGAACCAAATGTTTCCACTTCTAAGTAGAGTAAAATGTTGAGAAGCCTTAGTCTGGCTTCTCTTCTGCCTTCTAAGCCATCTTGCTGACTTGTGTCTACCTCCACTGCAAATTCCAGCTGTCCCAGGCCCACCTGGCCAACTCCATCACCTTTCCAATCTGTAGCTACTCACAATTTGCATTACAGTAGTTAGCTTGTCAGATGGGTCCAATTTACAAAAGCACTTATAGGATGAACTTTATGAAATTACCAATAGTCGGCAATTTCACACATTTGATATAACATTTCCAGGCAACCATAACACAGTAAACTCGGGTTTAGAGATAACAGATGTCCTAACAGGTTGATAAATTCAAGAGCTGTTCCCATGTGAGAGAAGGGCCATCAGACTGTTGGTGAGGTTAAGAGAAAAAGGCCGGGTGCGGCGGCTCACGCCTGTAATCCCAGCACTTTGGGCACCCGAAGCAGGCAGATCACAAGGTCAGGAGATTGACACCATGCTGGCTAACACGGTGAAACCCCGTCTCTACTAAAAATACCAAAAAATTATCCAGGTGTGGTGGCACGCGCCTGTAGTCCCAGCTACTTAGGAGGCTGAGGCAGGAGAATCGCTTGAACCCAGGAGGTGGAGGTTGCAGTGAGCTGAGATGGCGCTACTGCACTCCAGCCCCGGCGACAGAGAGAGACTCTGTCTGAAAAAAAAAAAGGGAAAAGGTAGCCCCACGTTCATGTCTAGAGGAATAGTCCTGGCAATCACTGGTCAGCTAAAATCTGGGAAGCCAATAATGCAGTAATTGCTAATGGCTGGTATGGTACAGGGAAAGCCCACCTTCAGCTTTCCCCACTCCTGCGGCCAGGCATGGCTCTCACCAGGAGTATACCAGACAGGAGATCAGAAAACCCAGGATGGCGCTATGGCCCATTCATCACCCATTCATTCACTCATTCATCAAGTCAGGCCCTGTATTAGTAAACAAGGTAAACTGGTCCCTGACCTCAGGACTTACTTGAGAGACCAACGAATAAGTAGGCAACTCCAGTAGTGAGATAAGAGCCTCAGTAAAGGAAGTTAAAGAGTGTTATTGGAACACAGATAAATGACACCAAATCAAGAGAAAATGATGGATAAACTTAGAATGAATGAGGGTAAGGGGCAAGGGAGAAGAGAATTCCAGGAAAAGGGAGCAGTGGGAAGGCCTGGAAGCAAAAGATAGCATTCGACCCTGGAGCAGCAGGAAGAGGTTCAGAAAAGCTGAAAGACTGAAAGCAATCAGAAAAGAATTTGGAGAAATAACAGAGGCCGTGTGGTGAATAACTGTGCAATGATGATCATGATAATAACTAACATTTCTTGATCATTTACTATGAGTCAGCCAATACGCTAATAGTTTTGACTCCATCACCTCGTATGTGTCTTACAACTACTTTATGAAGTAGGTTCTATTCTTGCCTCTGTATTACAGATGAGGAAACTGAGTCCTAAAGCGATTAAGCAATCTGACCAAGATCATACAGCTAATAAGTGGCACAGCCAGGACTAAAACTTAGAACTCAAGTCTGTAATGGTTCTAAGACTAAGAATGGGTTTGAGAGGTCAATTAGCACTCTGTAATCCAAGTGAGGGGTAACAGTGATCTGATGAAGGCAGTGGCCATAAGGATGGAGATGAATGGACGTATTTGACATATTTAGGAGAATGAATCAACAGGACTTGGATGTGGGGGTGTGAAAGCGAGGCAGGAGTCCATGGGGATGCCCAGTGTCTGGTATGGGCAACAAGAAACCATTGAGCAATAGGAAGAAAACCTAGTTGCAACCGGGAGGAAGGGTGAAATAGGCCACGGTGATGAGTTTAGGACATTTCCATTTCGACACACTAGCAACAACAGAACATCCAAGTGAAGCCTGGATATTTAGTATGTAGTCAAATAGGCCTATCTGAAGCACTGAAAACGTGTGCTGTAGCTATTACCCAAAAGGTACTGGAAGGCATTAGAATCAATGAGCTAATCTAGAAAGTGAGCTGAGAGGACAATAGGCTTGTTACAGAACCCAGATGAACACCCAGCTTTTAAGGCATGAGCAACAGAAGTTCAAAAAGGAATCCAAAAGAACAGTATCCAGAGAGGTAGAAAGAAAACAAGGAGAGTGTTATTACGGAAACTAAGTATACTGAACACATCTTGTGTGCTAGTTCAAAGTCATCTCTACGCCACTTCTTACTCCAGCCACAGAATTGATCACAGTATACCTCTTGCTTCCCACCCTGGGGCTTTTCGGACACTGCTACTTGCAGCATGGAGAGTTTCACCTCCAGTTTTCCTAATAGAATTAAAGTTGGTGGAATCAGTAAGAATTCATGGATTTTAATATATAAAAATATATATATGTGTGTGTGTATGTATGTATTATCTAGTTCTGTCTGCTAAGAGGTCCTAGAAGCAATTATATATCAAAGTAGCTATGAGTGCACTTAGCACCTGGATCTTGATTTCTTTTTTCTTTTTTTTTTTTTTTTTGAGATAGAGTCTCGTTCTGCCGCCCAGGCTGGAGTGCAGTGGCCGGATCTCAGCTCACTGCAAGCTCCGCCTCCCGGGTTCACGCCATTCTCCTGCCTCAGCCTCCTGGGTAGCTGGGACTACAGGCGCCCGCCACCTCGCCCGGCTAGTTTTTTGTATTTTTTAGTAGAGACGGGGTTTCACCATGTTAGCCAGGATGGTCTCGATCTCCTGACCTCGTGATCCACCCGTCTCGGCCTCCCAAAGTGCTGGAATTACAGGCTTGGGATCTTGATTTCTTAATATCCCTTTCCAACAAAAGGAACCAATTACATGATATTATATATAGAAAATCCTAAATAATAAAAAAACTATTAGAGCTAATAAATGAAATAAGCAAAGATGCAAAAGACTAGATCAACACATAAAAATTAGTTGCATTTCAACACATTAGAAATGAACAATTGAAAAGGAAACTTTAAAAGCTCCATTTACAATAATATTAAAAAGAATAAAACACTTAGGCATAAATTTAACCAAGAAGGTGCAGGATTTATACACTGAAAACCACAAACCACTACTGAAAAAAATTAAAGAAAAATTAAACCAAGAAAAAGTAGACGATATAAATGAAAACTACAAACCACCCTGGAAAAAATTAAAGAAAAATTAGGCCGGGCGGTAGCTCAAGCCTGTAATCCAGCACTCTGGGAGGCCGAGGCAGCGGATCACGAGGTCAGAGATCGAGACCATCCTGGCTAACACGAAACCCCACCACTAAAAAATACAAAAATGAGCCAGGCGTGGTGGCGGGCGCCTGTAGTCCAGCGAGACCCGGGAGGCTGAGGCAGGAGAATGAGCAGAACCTGGGAGGCGTGGAGGCCAGGTGAGCTGAGATCCAGCCACTGTACTTCAGCCTGGCGAGAGCCAGACTTGGCCCAAAAAAAAACACTGAAAACCACAAACCACTACTGAAAAAAATTAAAGAAAAATTAAAGAAAAATTAAAAAATTAAAGAAAATCTAAATAAATGAAAAGACATGACTGGGCGCAGTGGCTCACGCCTGTAATCCCAACACTTTCGGAGGCTGAGGCAGGTGGATTACCCGAGGTCAGGAGTTTGAGACCAGCCTGGCCAACTTGGCAAAACCCCGTCTCTACTAAAAATACAAAAATTAGCTGGGCGTTGTGGTGGGCACCTGTAATCCCAGCTACTCAGGAGACTGAGGCAGGAGAATTGCTTGAAGCTGGGAGGTGGAAGTTGCAGTGAGCCAAGATCGCACCACTGCATTCCAGCTTGGGTGATGAGTGAAACTCCTTCTCAAATTAAAAAAAAAGAAAAAGAAAATACATTTAATGTTCATGGATCCAAACACATAATTTTGTGAAGATGGCTATATTCCCCCAGACAAAGCTACAGATTCAACAACATTTTTGAAGAAATGGAAAAGTAGACGCTAAAATGCTTATGAAATTACAAAGGACCCAAAAATTTAAAAAGCTCATGCTTCCTGATTTCAAAACTTACCACAAAGGTACAGTAA